GGTGGGGTTATGTTATGGGGCTATAACTATGACAAAATGTCTGGGTATAGCGATCAGATCATATGCCATGCCTCTCAAGCTTTTAATGTTGTTCGTGCGCCATTGGTTGCCATGATGAAATCTGCGGCGAAGGTTCTGTATCGCCTTTTATCGCACTACCAGACTGTGACTGCAACCTCTCTTGCTGCTACCATGTATGGACCAAGTTGTAGGAGCAGGCTAGTGCCTTGCATTTTAATTACGTGGCAAACTTGATTATTCTTGTCAGTTTGTTATCAACTATAACAAAAGTTTAATCCTATAATTATTAGTCTTTAGTTTTTGTTTTTATGATTGTAATTTTTTTGAAATCGAAAGTCTGGCTCAATTTAAATTAGAAGGCCTTTAAAATTGACATTTAATATTAACTGTCAAAATTCTAGAAATTGGGAAACTTTGAGTAACAAATTAAAGCCATTAACTACATGCAATTTATATAATTAAGTACCAAGCTGGCAATGAAGTTTCCTTTTTTTTTTGGGGGGGGGTGTTGGGGACGTTAGCTCAAATTTCTTATTTTGTGTATTTATCAAGGATATGATTTTATAACATATAAAATCATTTGATAAAAAAATCATAATTTAAATACATTTTTATATGTAATAACATGTTGACAATTTAAAAACAATATGGATCTTCACATTTGTACATTTACGTAATATTCTTCTCAAAGATTATTACCGCCCTCTTTTGATTGACAGAGAAAAATGTTAATCGATAAACAAATAAGTTAGTAAATAACATATATATATATATATATATATATATGATATGGTATGTAGTTTTGATAAAATGATTATTTTATAAACAAATAGGATACAAAGACAAATCCTCTGCACTGTGTAGTAGCTCCTTTGTAATTTTATTATATTTCTCCCTTCATGTATTTACCTCATTTGCTTGTTTTCTCTTTACTTCGTTCCAAATACTTGAGTTGCCTTCTAAATGCCTTATTATTTATATCCAATTTCATTTCTTCCAGGCTCTTAATTCCTAAATTCCTCTCCAATTACAATTAGAAAAATTGTGAGAAAGGACCCCATCAAGAACTCTCAAATTCTTTCGTTGAAAAGAATCAGTTTAATTAATTAATTTGATATATCCTTGCATTTCTAGCATGCCCATTACACCGATCCCAACGCCTTCTAATGTGATTTTAATACTTCTCCGATGCTTAATATAAAACCCAATTGTTGAGTTGGTTTTGGTCCTAAATATAAGACCCATTTATTAGATTTATCAATTTTTTCTAAATTACCCCTATAGATACTCCCTCAACCATAATCAAGTAGAAGAGAAAGAGGGGGTATTAAGAAAGATGATTATGATATTTTAGAAAAAAACGTGTCATATTTCTTATAATTAATTAACTTACCTAACTTTCTTAATCTAATCAAATTAGTTAAATAGGTCTTATATTAAAGACCGGAGGAATAGTATTAGATTGTAAGCAAATGATGACAAGAGAAATAATAAAATACAGGCCAATCTTGTACGTTTATTTAATTAAAACATTGAAAAGGATAATAGAGTAAAACTACAGTTGCTCGATTAATGAAAAGCCAATTTTGGGGTGGGACACGGAATATTAATTGTTATATGATGATTTGAGTTGAGTGATTTGTATATTTTTTTGGGCCAAAAAATTGCTGTTTTTATTCATATAAAAAATATTTACTCGCAATAAATTATGATGGTGGAGAACGTAGAAAGGAGAAGCTATAATGAAGAGGAAAGGGGATGGGGAAAATTATATATACTACCTCCGATTATTAATATAAGACCTCGTTTGATTTTTGTTTTATTCCTAAATATAAGACCCCAATCCATTTTATCTCTCATATTTGCGCTTTTTTTTTCTAAATTAGTCCTTCTAATAATAGTAGTTTTAACTAATACACTTGATTGGCAAAGATATTTTAGAAAAGACAGCATCTATTTATTACAAATAAACAATTTAACTTATTTTTTTAATATCCTCAAATTAGTCTACTAGCTCTTATATTTAGGACCGGGGATAGTAATTCTCAATAAGACCTCTTCATTTTCATTTTTATTTAATTAAGTATAAAAATTAGATTCTTTCCAGCATTTTTAATATTATAACGAGCAAACAAACAATGATGATCATTTTTACCAACCAATGCTCTGCTAGAGCTCACGAAAAATTAATATGACTAACTGATCTTAAGCTTAAAAAGTACAGAGATATGCCGTGGCAAAATAATTGACCACTGGGTTTGTATTTAAGCTGGCCCATATATGTCGTCATTCTAGTAGGTTTGTATTTGGGCCACAATGTTGAACACCCAAAGAATGATAAAGATATTAGATTAATAATTAATGAGGAGCAAGGAATATAAATGTTGATTTGAGAATATGTAATTGGTTATTATCTAGCATTATCATTCATCAGGATAAAAATTACTCCCTTCAGGAGCCCCCCCGCCAACAGCTTCAGCCCCTTTTATAAGATATAAATAACCAAATTATATGAATGAAATTTGGTTAAAGTTAGTTAAAAATATTAAATATAAAAATGAATTCCAACTTATTTTCAGCACACCCTTATTTATTATTTTTGAGGAAAGAGAAACCAAGTGAGTGAATAATTAAAGTAGTAAAACTAACTAATAATTAATGAGCATAAAAATAAAAATAAATAAATTGCTTGCATCCTCCTGATGGTGAACACTTAACGCGCCATCAGGAGGGTTCAAGCAATTTACGGGAGAAACTATGGAAACTTCGGATTCCACATAAATCATTGAGCCAGCCGATCGACCACGAACCTGCGGATTGATCTGCTTTATATTCCTCATACTTAATTTAATTGTTTTATGGATCGATCTCAAGTTATACTAGTATGATACATTTCATATTGCATACTACGTCCGGTTCTTAATATAAAAACTAGTTTAACTTTTAATTTAGTCATAAATATAAAACCTCAATCTACCTTATCTGTCATCCTTATCTATTTTTTTAAAGTAATCCTTGTAGTGATTGCACATGTTAAATGTTTCATGAAATGATAGTTCTGGCTAATACACATGATTAGTAAAAGTATTTTAGAGAAGACAACATATATTTATTACAAACAACTCTTATATTAAAGACCGGAAGAAGTATATGTTACAGGTTGACCAGGCCGACCTTTGACATTTTTCTCGCAGAGACACGAAGCATCTCTACATATTAATCCCCTGAAGTAGGAAAGGAAATGATAGCTTGACGTTTTCAAAGGACAAAATATGATTCCCACATCATTGACTTCCATATATCATTATGTTATCTTATTCTCCATCTTTATGATTAATGAATCTACAAATTCGACTAAACTTTAGACTTCTGACATTTTCAACGTCTTGATTTAATCACAGTATCATTATCAAATCCCCTTCTTGGTCAACAATTGGATTAAAGAATGAACGCTATCCATTGCAATGTTGTATAGAACCATATATATATAAATTATTTGTAACAGGGAAATATAATAAATAATAATAACTGAACATTAGGTGGGGAGATAAATTTCATTAAACTTGCAGTTGCAGATAATGCTTCCTTGCAGATAGGGATACGCTTGGCTTTTAACATCAAATAATTAACATTAGGCCATGAAATTCAAACAATTAACAAGTATTTGTATCTTGTTCTATGTTATCCCACTCCTGTGGCTTTTCCTTATCTCAAACATATATTATTTTACTAAGAAAAATTTCTATCGATATTTATTTATGTGTTTTCGGGACAAATTAGATGAGTTTTTATTCCTTGACTCATCTGATCTGTCAAAAGACAATGGATCAACTTAATTATAAAGATATGCGTAAGCTTGTCAAATCTAATTTTGCAGCGATATTTTTATTTCTGACTTGTCTTAGCTCATCTTGGTTAAATAACTTGCTGGCAAACTTTTGAAAATTTCAGTTTTATGCTTATCTTTATCAATAAGAACATTTACATACTCATGCTCGTAGAAGTAATACATTTTAGTCAAATCAAAACATGTGGAACTTAAATTTAAAAGTAAGTAAACAACAATTAATATTAAAATTGTTGACCTCAGCTCCCCTCACATTTTTTCTCATAAAAACAATTTTTTATATTAGCTCAACTCATATGGCTAATCAGTTTAGGCAAACCCAGTTTTATTTTGAAGATAACTTTCAGAGTACGTAGCCAAAAAATAATGAATGTTTCAATAAGAAGCGTTTCATTATATTGCTTATGAATCGATAATTATCTATATGACATACACGGATTAAATATAAGGACAAGTTCGGATTAACTAGGACATCATTTTATTTAATTAAAGTTAAATCTATTTTTTCCCCATAAAATAGATTTTGATTTTTTTTTTTTTGCGATATATTCACACATCCATCATATTCCCTCACCACTCACATTTGAAAGATTAAAGGAGAGGCTTAATATTAGTTGGGCTAAAGGTCCTCACAAAACAGATTTGGCTTGAATATAAGAAAGTAGGAACATCTATCTTAATTAAGTTAAACTAAACATATATTTCAATTAAAAGTTCACATACTAATTCCCCTCATGTGTACCGTTCCAATTTTATTCCAAAGAGACACGCATGCCTCCTCTTAGGACGAACTGAAAATAAGTTTCTAGGTAAAATATATAAACAAACAGCAAAAATTAATTGACACAAGAGTTGTTAATTAATTGACAGAGGAATCGAGTAAAATATCTAGGACTGACCTTTAGTTAGTGGGAAATGGTCCCCTAAATTTTTATTATTATTGTTATTTTTTTGTGAACTGGTCCCTTAAACTTAATGGCCTCCTCATATTCTACGAACCGGCCAATTTCTATTCAAACGTCAAACTTTGTGGCTGGTGACAAGGAACCAACTGGCCCTATTAATAAATATTCGACTACGATATATATAGCTTCACCAATCACCAGCATGCCACAAATCAAACAACTTGTACGACCATGGCTAAATCCTCTCAAGCTTTTCCATTCCTCCTCTTCTTCCTTCTTCTCCTTAGATTCTCCGATGCCTCACAAGGCGGCATCGCCATCTACTGGGGCCAAAACGGCAATGAGGGAACCCTGTCGGAGGCTTGTGCCACCGGGAAATACGCCTACGTCAACGTAGCCTTTCTCATCCAGTTCGGCAACGGCCAAACCCCACAAATGAATCTCGCCGGGCACTGTAACCCTGCAATTGCCGGCTCATGCGCCAAGTTTAGCTCGGAGATCAAAGCCTGTCAGGCAAAGGGAATCAAAGTGTTGCTCTCTATCGGCGGCGGCGTCGGCAGCTACTCTCTTTCCTCCGTTCAGGATGCCAGAAACGTGTCCAAGTACTTGTGGGACACTTTCCTGGGAGGTAAGTCACCGTCAAGGCCTCTAGGCGACGCAGTTTTGGACGGAATAGACTTCGACATTGAACTTGGCTCGACACAGTACTATGATTATCTTGCCCGTTTCTTGAAGAACTATGGAAGGGCAGGAGGAAGGAGGGTGTACATAAGTGGGGCCCCACAGTGCCCTTACCCTGATAGATTTCTGGGCACTGCCCTTAACACAGGCCTCTTTGACTTTGTCTGGGTACAGTTCTATAACAATCGTCCATGCCAGTATGCTAATGGGAACATCACTAACCTTGTCAATTCGTGGAACACATGGACAAGTTCGGTGCCGACGGGGCGGATATTTTTGGGGTTGCCGGCAGCTCCGGCAGCAGCCGGAAGTGGGTATGTTCCGGCTGATGTGTTGACATCGGAAATCTTGCCTGTGATCAAGAAGTCGCCCAAGTACGGAGGAGTGATGCTGTGGTCACGGTTTCATGATAAGAATAGTGGATACACTGATTCCATTATTAGCAGCGTGTGAGGGGCTGGAGCATGAAATAGTAACTATTTTCGCATTAAGTTGTTTCTGATAAGATTGAAGTTATTTGTACAACTTATACGATTGTTTGTGCGCGTAATTTCTATTTACCTTATTAATAAAGAAAAAGCGAATTTCAATTAAGCCAGGTTTTTTTTTTGTTTTTTGGAAAACCATTTTAAAGGGACCTATACATTTCTTCAATTTTTAATTTGGTATTTACATGTTTTTTCTCTTAATTAAATATTTAATTTTGTTCTAGTAACGTCATTTCCTCTTGCATGAAGACTAAAAATACTAATAGAATAAAATTACAAGAGTTAATGTTATTAAGAAAAGTAAAATCAAATTATTTAACTAAGGAAAAACATAGGTACCAAATTAAAAATTGAAAGAAAATATAGGTACCTCTAGTATAATTTTTTTTCTTTTTTTCTTTAAAGGAAAACGTACTGGCTCTAGGTTATAAAAAAATTCCCTCCTTTTATTAATGCAAGACATATTTTCAAATTTAATTATGTTGTTCATCTACATCAATTATAATTTAAAAAATCCATTTGAAAATATTGAAATATTTTAGAGAATAAGACGACTTTGCTTGGGGCATATGCACTCGGCTGCGGGGGTCAACGTACCTTTTTTCTTTTAATGAAATAAAATTGTTTTTTTTTTAATCTTTGTCACCAAAACGGGAAAAAAAGCGAGGAAAAGTAAATAGCAACTACGAAGCTCATTGAACGAGTAAATTTATTTAAAACTACAGAGACACCGAGGGAACCGTTGACAGAAGGAGACTAACTCACTCGAGTGGGACCTCTTCAATTTCCTACAAATTTTATCTCAAAATTCAATGGATCAGTACTATTTTGATTTTATAAGTTGATTTTTTTAAATGAAGTCAAATTATTTCGACTTTAGATACGTGACGCAAGTGTTCCCAAAGACAAGACATTGCATCCACATTTTCGAAATAAATGCATCGATGGTTTCAAGTGAGAACAGGGTAATATAAATAAAATCCACCGCTCTCTAAATTCATCACATCTTTTCAGTATTATTGATTGCTTTCTTACAGTGATCAGGTTCTGAAAAAATACAACAGAATATAACAATTCGATCCCGAGTCCGTCAACCAAGGAAGGAACTGCTCTTTCCAGCCTCTAACAAAATTCAGTCCCACATACAACCTATATAGTAATTTTAAATCATAACAGAACAAATACAATATCATGTAATAAAACAATTGAAACAGAAACAATCTAAACCAAGCAAGCAAAGCAATTGTGACATCAAACCACCAAGAGGCAAAGAGGTAACGTAATGCTACTCTAGACTAGATTATCCTGTTTTATGAGCTCAAAACTTAACCAGTGGTTGTAACCCATCTTTTGTTGCTGTTTACACTTGCCGGACCTGGATGTTGTGAGTGGACTGGGACCTCCATATGGGTTGTCTGCCACTCTGTACAAGGGCCACTTCTTCTCCTTCCTTTACCATTCCTTGCTTCTGAAGGTAGAAACCATGAATATATACTCATCATAAGTGCACGCAAAAGACCAAACACGAGTAAAACAAGCATTGTAGTACAGCAATCCTTTTCTTCCCCTTATTTTTTCGTTTTTCTCCTTTACTTTTTTGGGCGAAGGGGGTGTTTACATGGAAGTGTGAAATATCAACTTTAACACATCAATAATAGCTTATTTACCAGGGGTGTAAAACACAAATGCTTCAAAACAATACCTGGAGTAAGCCTAGCGCTCTAGCAAAAGTCTCCTCCGCATCGTCAGAAAATTCCATATATATGGGACACACCCCTTGATACAAGGCCAGCCGCTGTTGTATCCTCTTGCTGTGTGGGCAGCAAAATTTTCAGTTTTCAGATCATAAAGCTTTCACAAATACTCAATGTATAACAAAAAACAGTAATATGTATCAGTTTAGCTTTTAAAGACATAATGCACACATCTTCAGGGAAAGAATGGAATGAATTCCATCAGATGCATCAGTTAAATCCTAGAGGCACATCTTCAGGGAAAGAATGGAATGAAATCCATCAGATGCATCGGTTAAATCCTGGAAGATTAGGGAAATTGTAACATTGTAAATGTAAATATTCACCAATGTGCAAAGACAATCGACCAAGATGAGAGAACTCAAGCCCAAAAAAGGTATAAGTACAACATAACTAAATGCATCCAGTATGTCTTTCAGGGAAAGGAGAAAAATATTGAACATTTCTGAAGGCCAAATTTTCTTGATAACAAATGAGGAGGAAGATAAAGTACTTACTTATCAGTAAAAGCAAATATAGTGCCAGAAGGTCGATAGTGGCTCAGTAGGATAGCCATAAAACCTGATCTAGTGAAGACTAAAGTAGAGGTTCCAAGGGTGTTAGACATCATTGTTGCATGGTATGCAAACATCTCGCTCATGTGGTTCTGCAGATGTCCAAGATAAAGAATCAATATATCCGCTCTGATGGTCAAACATAGCAAGACTTTATAGTGGATGAAAAAATTTAGCATGGCTACAGAGCATTGTAACTTCAAACCTTGAATACTTGGCCAAGATTAGGCGGCACTTGACCACCTGGAATGGTTGCTTCTGTCCGTAATGCTACTGTGTGCATTACTTTCACAGCTTTGAGTGGGAACCTGCATGACAACAAATATAATTATTCCCTTTCTTAGGGAGTGATGGTAAGCATACTAGTTGAAAACATTTATTAACTTTCAGCTGTTTCTTGCTTCTGTAGATTACCAACGATATAATCAGTTAACATCAAAGTTTTTCCAAATGACCCAAAATGCTAATATTGCAATTCACTGTCTAATCAGCTCAAGGACAAAATGATAATTTCTTCCCTTAATAATGCACATAGTCTAAATACCATTTATCTTAAATCACAGCAAAGACAAAATTGATTATAATACAACCTGTGTTTCTTTTAGTAGTGTTTTGGGTTGTTAAAGTGACTAACTTTATCTAACACATAGCTATATAGGAGAAATATCAATGTCATTTACAACGCTCATTCCTTTTGAATGACATGTTGTTGAAGTTAGTAATCCCCCAACTATTTGTTACATTAGCAAATCAATGTAATTTGAGAGGTTCAAATCCTCTCAATTTCCTACCAAAATCGACCCATTTTAAAGAGACATGTGATGCATGGGGGGCACTTGAGTCGGGAACCACTTGAATAAGCGACTGAACACACTCTCTTTCCCTCAAAAATTCGCCATTCATTTTTCTACCTTGAGATATGCAGGAAGCTAGTTACTTACTTTCCATGGGCAGTTTCTCCAGAAAGCATAATCCCATCAGCACCTTCACGAACAGCAATAGCAATGTCTGATACTTCTGCTCTGGTTGGTGTAGGGTGTACAATCATGCTTTCCAGCATATTAGTTGCTACAATAACAGCCTTCCCCATGCTACGGCAAATCATGATTATCTCTTCCTATAGTTTGACATTATCAGTCACAACAGATGTTAAGATAAGCTCAATTTAATGTCAACTTCTGGAAGTTTAACCCAACAGAACAATACTTGTATAGTTGCTTTCTATTCAAAATGACATTACCTGCAAAAGTGGAACCTCCTCAATGGGAAGCTCTGCACCAAGATCACCTCTAGCAACCATTGCCTAAATCAGGATTTTAAAAATAGATCGATCAACATTAACAGAATTATTCACAATCACTGTATTTACAATATAAGTGCAAAGCAACCCCCATATAACGCAGCAATATAAAGAAATAAAGCAAGGATTAGATTAAAACCCCATCAGAAGCTGTAATGATTGAGTGCAAGTTTGGTATAGAGTCTGCACTTTCAATCTTCACGATGACATGTATATCAGCACCACAGCCTGAGGTATTGAACAAGAAATTTATTATCTACAGTTATAACCCCTCATATAACTGATTGTTTAAAAACTCTTTTTCTATTTCTTACTTTTTAAATAATTCTTCAATTCATGAACCACTTGAGCATCCTTAACAAAGGAAACGGCATAAAAGTCAACTTGGTTATCTACTCCAAATTTGATGTCATCCCAGTCCTTCTCTGCATCAGAATTTTTGTTCATGAGACCAGCTTAACATCAAATAAAAAATTTAGACACAAAGGGGAAGATGGAACATGAATCATCAGAAAAGACAGAAAACAGGATCAGTAAGTAAAAGACCAACCTGTAATGGAAGGCAGTGTTGCACTTTTTCCTCGAACATTCAAATGTCGCCTTGATTTGAGCTCTCCTCCATCGACAACTTCACATTTCACTGAATCAGCCGTCTTTGATTTAACCATCAATGACATCATACCACCTACATCATAAGTAAAAAGTCAATATTCCATCAAACTATGTCTAAGTAATATGGTTTCCTTGATGTGTTGGCTGCACAGTTTGGGAGTCAATGATAGTTTATAAGTTCAAGACCATTTTTAATAAAAAAATTTGACCAACTAAGTGAGGATTTGTGATTGGAATCATTATCGACAAGACTAAGCCCCTTGGGCTTGAAGTGGGGACAAAACACAAGTCCACTATATGCTGCACAAAACTTTTATACAAGATAAGTGATGACTGTTGACATCCCAACCACTTCGTTATTAAAAATCTTATTCCAAATCAAAGACCATTTCAACTTGGAAAACTGAATTATTAAGGCCCATTGTTGGCTTAATTAACATATTTAACAAACTAAATTTTGCTTTTGCTGTAATAGCATGTTCTAGCTCATTATCCATATAAACAAGGTCAGAAACAAGGTAGCACGCTCCGAAATCCAAAGGGAAAGAGGGCTGCTGGTGGAGGAGGGAGGGCTATGTGAAGATTGCTAAACTCTCCATAAGGCCGTGACTAATATGGAGGTAAGCATTAATCAACTTAAAACACGTTTGTGAGAGATGTGAGTGACTGAAGTGATCAAATGATCATCATACCATCAACGAGAAGCATGTCCCCAACTTCCACATCATTGACAAAATCATCGTAGTTCACACTGACACAATCTGGAGTTCCAACACCCCTCTGAATTGTAAAAGTGAATTCCTGACCAGGTGTCAACGTGATTGGTTGTGGCAAATCCCCACTCCTAACCTCAGGGCCCTAAAAGGAAGAAAAAGAACTATCAATC